ATGGCAAAGAAAGCCTCTTCCGTTGCTCAAAGGCGCTATCAGCTTCTAATAGAAATTATGTTCAGTGCGTCGTTGAATTTTTGTATACTTCTATTTCCACTTGTATCCTAGTCCATGAGGGTTTTAAAGGTACACTTTGTGGAAGCACACTGGTGAATAACAGTGTGTCTGCAGGTGTAAGAATATCTTATTACTTTCAACGTTAGCAATGGTCTGTTTGACAGACGGCTGAACTCTCCAGAAATTTTTCGCATGGTATTAGGAGTGTGCAGCAGCTTTTTGCAGATGACGCTTAACACGTCTGTATAGCACAAACTATCGACCCACTGAGAGAATCTAACAAAAGTTTTGCACGACAAAATAGGGAGTCGCAACAAAAACGCATTGAAATCAACTCATTAGCTCCAATTTGTTTCTTGGAATTTAATTGGTATCACTGTATATGGTTGAGAATGCGATAAGTTTAGAGTTTTTGCTAGGCGCTTGCAAATTTTCCGATCTCACAACTGAAATACATCGTGATTGTCCATTAAGTGCTGTTCTTGCTCGACGACATGTCCTTACATTGTCGTCAAAGTTTGCAGCGAAGACGTATTCGTCGTCCAACATTACCGACCCTTTTTATTAAAGCAATTCCAAATTTCGTTCTGTTGCTTATCATAAAACATCCGGCAATAATGTAACGACAATGACGTTGAGATTTGAGCAAAACTTGGAACACCCCACCTGCTTGATTAGCTTCGAACCCGCGATTACCTTTCATGGGACCAAAATGTTACTCACTGCACCATTGAGGCTATCCTTTGTTCTTGCTCTTGCCCAATTTTTTATCACAGCGGGGCTATCAGTAATCACTCCTCAAGGGAATGGTAGCACAAATCACCATTGAACTCAGTTGAGCGGAAGGTGCAGTGGAAATCGCAATGTTTTATTTGGATAAATACTGAAGGTTCTTTCCCATCATGATGTGGGGATTTTCTTATATGTTGTTGAGCCGTATTTCAGCCGAACCACCCTATTGTACAGCGGTGGCCTTCTGAAGGTCAAGACCGTGGTCCGAGTACTTATAGAGCAGCATGGGGCATTGAACAGGTAACATTTATGTGTATTTATGTGTATGTATGTGTATGTACAATATCTTGAAGCAGCGTGCTCGATTTCTGCAGGATCAACATCAACAATTGTACCTACAGCGGTGGTGTCCTGGAAACGAAGATCGTGGTCCGAGTACTTATAGTGCAGCATGGGGTATTGAACAGGTAACATTTATGTGTATTTATGTGTATGTATGTGTATGTACAATATCTTGAAGCAGCGTGCTCAATTCCTGCAGGATCAACATCAGCAATTGTGCCTAGAGCGGTGGTGTCCTGGAAACGAAGATCGTGCTCCGAGTACTTATAGAGCAGCATGGGGTATTGAACAGGTAACATTTATGCGTATTTATGTGTATGTATCTGTATGTACAATATCTTGAAGCGGTGTGCTCGATTTCTGCAGGATCAACATCAGCAATTCTACCACTGTCTTCCTCATCACCAACTGCAGCAGCGCCGTCAGCATTCTGGTTTCTAGTGTTGTTACCCGAAACGCATGAATAAAACAGTATCAAAAAGCGGGCATTTGTTTAATATCTTTTATGACGCCAATGCGCTACCGAGTCCTTTGATCTGAGCTTAACTCAGCTTGTTTTCTACCTACCAGTGCCATCGGCAACCATCCGTCAGCGCGATTGATCTGGGAGCCCACGTGGCCCGTGGTTCAAGTTTTGCGAACATCTCAGCATCGCTGTGGTTGATTTCAAATGATATCCTGCCGTGAAAATTGTAGTAGGCAGTAAATAGAAAATTAGACATTGTGATTTGAACTGCGGCCTCAGGTTTATTGGATTCAACGCCGATTTCGGCTCCTCAGATCAATCCTCTCGACGGGTAATGACTGATTGCACTGGTAGATAGAAAACTAGTTGATGGCCCGGTGTCCACGTTTTGCGATTATCTCAGCATTGTTGAGGTTGTAATTCATTGGCACACTTTATAGATTTCAGCAATATGAAGAGAGATAAACACTTTGCAGAATTAATGGCGTTGAATGTGTTTCCAGATACCGCGCAACTTATTTCTACAACGCTTGGTACCTGCCCAGGAATATTGGCAGGCATCAATACCTCAGACTGTAGATGAACAAGTAAACTTTGTCCAGAATGACATCATAGTATTACGCAATGAATCGCTACCATTTTTAAGGGTCACTTCTAGAATGGATATTTTAATAGCATCATTTTTCCTTTTCTGGTTTTTTTTATAAATTTTGATTCTAAGATTATTTAATTGTGAAGTGATGCCGTATAAAAGTTATCTATTCCGTAAATGCGGTTGAGAGAACATAGAGGAAAGTCTTCATAAATTTGCAAAGTTTTGACCTCCAGAAATACATTAGTAAGGAAGAAATTCTTTCCAGACTTAGGAACAACACCGGGAGGTGCGTTTCTAGTGGGACCGTTTGCAGATGAAATTATAGGTAACGTACACGTCACATCAATTGAATGGTCGGTGCGATCTCCAAGTTCGATACGGTGGAAGTATGGAACAGTTTCCTTACGTCGTTAAGCCACTTATCTCGAACGAACATTATATCTTTTGTCTATGACTTCACTCGATACTTCCGACGATGCTACCACTATCTCTTTCACATTTTGTGTTTCTGAAATAAAATTTATGCAATTGCTCTTCGCAAAAGTTGTGTCGTTGAATAATTGTCACGATATTTCCTGAGCACTGTTGGCGCGATAGATTAGTCTGGAGGGAATGGAACTGGGCGTCTGATGAAAGTAGCGGTGTGTTGAAGTCAGTGCAAGGTTCCAGGATTCAGGAACTTATTCCATAGTATACCTACAGCTTCGAAGAGTGTAGATAATGAGTTTTCGACCGCTTTTGTCTCTACTATGAAAATAAAAAAATGGGATTGTTTGAGACTTATAGAGTAGAAATCCATTCTGTTCTAAAGTGAGGCTTACTCTGCTGTTTGTTAGGACTTCAAAATACTTTGTTTACTGCAAGACGAAATTTAGCTACAAATGAAGCCAAACAGGTTTATCCGAGATTGCTCTACGAACATGTTGTGTCGTTGTCGAGCCCTATTCATCGAAACTCGTGATGATGTTAGTTCAGGAAATCAGAAAAAGAATTGGAGGTTATTTAGAGAATGTTTAACGTTTTGTTTTCTGCCTTCTATAATTTTCATGGCAGGTTACTAAGCGAAATACAACCACAAAAAAAGATGGATAGAAATAGCTGAGAGACAGGCGAAACGAAGGACCCGCATGGTGTGGTGGTGAGCGCGTTACTCCCCGGAAAGGACAATAGCGCGTTCGTTCCCCAGAGTTTTGCAAATATCTCAGCAACGTTGTGGTTATTTAGAGATTCTATTGGAGAGGCTTGTTCATGCAGGAAATTAGAATACGTCGTGACTGCTTCGTTGGACTTCAAGTTTCACCTGGAGCTAGCAATTAATCAATGTTCTACCTCACTAGAGAGCTACTTGACAACATAAAAAACAGTAGTGTAATGACTTTAAGATTATCAAGTCAGAAAGAGAAGCTTTCGAACTTATCGCCTTGTAAATTTTCTNTACGTCGTGACTGCTTCGTTGGACTTCATGTTTCACCTGGAGCTAGCAATTAATCAATGTTCTACCTCACTAGAGAGCTACTTGACAACATAAAAAACAGTAGTGTAATGACTTTAAGATTATCAAGTCAGAAAGAGAAGCTTTCGAACTTATCGCCTTGTAAATTTTCTAGTTCATTTGGATTGCAATAAGTCTACACTAATTTAGTTCCATTACGTTCACTATTATTATTCATTATTCCATTAAGTGCGCTGTTACTCCTCAGTATTCGAAATGAGAAGTTCTAATCGCATTTCGACTGCTATAAAGGAGACTTTCGAAAAGAGAAGAAGAGATAAATAGAAGCTTGGGTTTGATGTGATCTTAACACAGCGGACATAAGTGCCAACTAGCCAACTAATGAAGTCGCTGCAGCACGACTGATAACCCTGCACGAAAAAGATGTAAGAAGAAGGTCGAAAAAGAATTACAAAATCAACGTTCGTATGTCTGCTAATACAGTACGACATCAGCACTGCCAAACGAATAGAATATTTCAACCCTCTGCATAACCTGAGATTCATGAACGACACGCACCAGATAGAATTAGCAGGTTGGTGGAAACAGTCGAAGAGATCTACAATTATTACTACTTACTGAGACGGTTTAATAAACTCCTTAAGAAAATTATAGTACCGTGTACATCAGTAACATAAAATCAAGGTCCAACAGCTAAACAAATGCGATCAATACACTAGTCTTAAATAACATCTTATCAGGACCAGAACCTGCCCCTTGTCGTAACCTATGCCGATTCCAAAGTGGATGCATAGTGAATGCAAATAGAACAAAATAAGACAATTTTCAGTATCCAGATAGTCAATACTTATCAACATTAGGATCTGGCAAGGGAAAACAGCCGTCGTTGATTGTATTGAAGATTCGAGCGTTGCCGCACAGAATCCACGTCGGGCATCCGGTGTAGTAAAACGTCTCAGTATATAACTTATTTGACACTTGCATGGCCCGTCCTCACTGGTTGTGCGCTCTCCAACATAACCCCCATTTTTCGGAGATTTTCTTGTTAAGCTATTTTGTTTCCCTGGAATCCCGTCAACCTGTCCAAAGTCTGCTCCTGGTCTGCACCACCAGAACAGTTGAAGCCCTTGTGGATCAGAGAGAGACTTGTCGCCATGGAAGACCCTGCCAGGAGATGAATCCCTTGCTTTACAACGCAGTCAACACCCATCAACACCTTCCAGCCACGATTAGGCGATAAATCGTTGAGAGGTATATACAACATGTTATATAAAATAACCACCAACGCCACAATAATGTGGATAGCCCGAAGAATCATGCAAATGAGTATGATTATCCAAGTATTTTACGGAGATCTTATCTTTACTTCGACATAGCACTGGACCAACAAAAGCGTGCCAATCTATACCAAAAATTTTTAAACGAATATTGTGATGGGTTAATATTGGACTTCTGGATGGAAGAAGTACGAAAGAGTGGGAAAATGAGTGATTTTCCAATGTATCTTTTGCAATGGAAGCAATGATTTTGAAGTATTTCTCTTACGGTAGTTCTCCCCTTCTGCATCTGTACGCCGCAATACTGTAAAGGCATGATTGGCACCACTGTGGTTATTATTTTAGTAAATTTAAGGATGAAAATATTATAATGAGAATGAAGAAAGAAATTAGTGCAACTGCTTCTCATGGTATTACCACCTTTTCGATGACTCCTTTATTTTTCCGAAGATAGCTAATACCACATTCGAAAAGGTGGAGCACTTTTCGGCTCCGCTAGCAAGAGGATGGACACGTTATGGAGTTCGAACAAAACTTCGTCAACTCTGTCTCGAACACAGACGTTGCTATTTCGGTTGTCCTGCCTTTGATGACTTCACTGTGAGGAAATGCAATGCAGATATCAATGTATTTAGCAAAAATGTCCACAATTCAAAGAGCGATGTGTACATCTGCGCTCGATTCAAGGTTGAGCGTCATTATTACCTGTTCGAAGAAATTTGCAATCGCCATTGAACACGAATTGTTCTATAATTACCGTACGTTACGCAGTAATGATGCAACGTACCGATCATGAGCGCAAGCAATTCCAGAGGTGGATGAAAGAGTGACTCCATGGAATCACTCCTATTTTTGACCATAGAGACACTTTATGGTTATCATCACTGTAGCGACGTTGCAGTACATAAGCTGTTGTGCAATAAGATAAAGAAGCATTGGTAAGATTAGAAAGTCACATTCACAAAATGAGTTGCTGTTGACACCAACTAGTACGCCAAGAAGTGCAAGGAAGTGGTGAAGCATAAATCAATGTTGCCACTGATTATTTTTGCACGGGGTCAAAGCATCGAGAGCTCAGATTTCCAAAAAGATTCAAGGGAAGATGTTCCTATTGGATGTCCTGAAGAAAGTACTCCAAACGGATCAAGTTCCCTTTCCTTTCATGTACATCAAAGTAGTTACTGAGTTTAAAGTAACGAATATACTCGTGGTATTGTCGCAGAAGAAAAGCGGTGTGCCGAAACTAAAGCAGTGAAACAGAAGCCCATCGAGAACCTGCCTCCTACACCAGCCGAAAAATTCGGTTCTGCTCACACCAGCATATGCCTTCACACTTGACATACGATAACATAGATGATGAATACGCAGAGTACTATTGCTATTAGGACTGGTAGCTCTGTGACCAATGGCACTTGAACATATAGACAACTTCTTCCCTAATAAAATATTCGCCATATTAGTTTCGACAGTTATGACGGATTTAGGGAAACTAACTTTTGTGTAAGTGGAACATCTACGGTATAAACCCACTGCCAAAAGTGTACTGAACGACTGAACTTAGTCACCAACAATATCAGAGATAAAGCGAAATTTCAGAAGAAAGTGATCATACATAAAGTATTTCAAAAAGATAACGTTGAAAACAATGATATCCTAAAAGCCACACCTGGCTGCAATGATAAGGGTGTGGTAAGTGGCCGTCACATAGACGTGACCGCTGTGCGTAATCCAAATATAGGCCGTTTGAGAAATCAAGGTAAGAACAATGGAAATTAGCAAGGAAGAAAGAATTAAAACAAGTTGCCCATACTAAACCCAATCTATGACAGCAAACTGCACAAAAAATATAGGAGAGCGCCCGAAAATATTAAGGACCCAAATAAAGTTCAAATTCAAGACATTTTGAAGTGCTTTCAAATGTTCTAAATTTGTATATATATATATATATATATATATCATTGAACTGAAGAACAAATTATAAGACGAACCTGTAACAGTATTCATAACCTCTACCAGACCACTGTCTACATCGCTCGGATCCAGTAGCATCTCAATTCAAAGGGATTGTATGTAGTTATACATCTGGACAAAAATTACTGACAAAAGGAACGATAGCCTATTTGGAGCTTCACATCGATTTTTCCGTTTTGCTGTTTCATCCTCTTTGCATGTAATTCCCGTAAGATGACTTATTTGGTCAAGAAAGAGAATAAAAACCGAAACAATGAAAAGATTATAGGACGGTTGAGGTTAAAGGACAAAATAAAATGGTAAAAACCAAATTATCTTGCGGAACTGAGCACCTGGAAAATTCCACAGCCTGTGTGAGCCCACGAAAGAAGACCGTTTGAGTACCACCATATTATTCTTGAATATCTTGAAGCTCTCGAGTACATTGACGAAATAATTCCGCATGTCTAATTTCGGCTTATTACGGAGATCTTCGTTGAACCTAAAGGGAATGATTGATTTAGCGATTTGAAGACCATACTACACAAATATTTGGAAAAGTTATGTTTGACCCTTGTTCTTGAAGTCGCTCACCCAATGACTTACTTTCCAAGGACTCACTTTAAACACCGCGCTGACCAGACCGTGATGCAGCCGGAGGCAGTGCTAGAGAGATGAAAAAACACAAATAACAGCCACTAATGATATCTATAAAACATGTATGTTATCCTACAACGGGTACTAAGGATAGGACCCATGCTACTAAATGGTTATCTAAGTATTTCAGTGGTGTCGGAAAAAGTTTCACATTACTACAAAGCCCATATCGTTACGAAACAGTGGAAAAGTATCGAAAAAGTACTACGTACGCTAAAAATCTGCTATGGCATTTCATAAAAATCTAGTGAAGCAATACCACGTTTTCACACCTGATTCAGTGTCAAATATGTAGCAGCTCCAGTGGAAATGGGGACATGAGCCAAGCTACACGCCAACAATGTCCATGTGAAATCAGCACTACGATCGTATGAGGTCACACGGCGATAGTTCCTCTCGTTTACAATCGCATAGAGGTATGAATAGTACGCAACTTCTGCAGCTGAAACAAAATCTGAAAAGAAATGAAAATGAATAGTATGCTGTGTCAATCTTCCACAGGGGTATTAACCCGCGACCATTTCTCGAGCACGACAAAAACAAAACTCGTAGAATAAGAGACCAATGACGTCATCGTCCGATTATATGTAGACAGTTACCGAACAATGAGTCCATAAAAGCAATCTGAATTCAAAAAAAGAACGTTCAACAGCATCAACGCACCGAAGGCAATTTGCATAAGTCGCATTTGTACTATGACTTCGCCCCACATAAGAGGAATCCAGGTTAACGACAGACACGCGCCCTCAAGCACAACCACCGGTTTGTAGCGAAGAATATCCGTCAGAGAGAATACAGGTACCTGTAAACATACAGCAGTTGAGTACATTTTAAGAGTCCCAAAACGTAGCAGAGTTTGTAACCCCAGTTGAATGGTACTTACCCACATGAACAGACTACACATTTCATACTTTGACAAAAAGAAGGTAAAAAGGACACTAACTAAATTGAACGAATTGTCTCCAAAACTCAACCACCCCACAACTAGCAAACTCTTACTTGACAAGAAACGTTTGCACAATCTCAGCACAAGCTGACTCAAATGCAGCAAACACAAATACAACTAGCATGGGAACGCTCTGAGTGCTCATGCACTCTGAGCAATTAAGCTAACGTATACACACCTTACCAAAAATGGTATGTATGAATAGGTCCAAAACGAAAAGATCATGCCATAAACTTCATCCAGAGTGAAGTTCTTATATGGTGAAACAAAACGGTGTGAGGAAAGGTGTGGGCGGTCGAAATCCCTTCGTGATACCATAAACACAAAGCACAATTGTGGTAGTCTTCCAATGCATAGCGACAATCGAATAGATGCTGGGATAAAATCAGAACCCGAATAAGAGGCCAAAGCTTGAAAGACGTTAATATTTAGAATGATATGGATATAACATTGCAAACATCTTTGTAAACGCTAAGTCGATACCTGCACCAGTCAAACATGAGCACACCCAAAAAGAAAAATCCAGTCCTTTAGTTTCGAATTTTCCTTGTAAATTGCGACTCTCAGTGAAATTTTTCCGAAGCCATACAAGACAGCTTTCTCACTATGACGGCACTGGAAGGAGGAATGAGACTTTGTTGCAGAGACAAATGGTCTAGTTCAGGGAGCAATTTAGAAGAGTTAACGAAGAAACAAGTCGCTGCTTAACCTTTCGCAGATAAACCCACTGCCAATTGCCAAGTGACGTCGGGAGATGGATGTTGTCGTCGGTCGTGAGTGTGAGTTCCACTCCTACGACTCGTAAAGCTCTTCGATTGAAAATATTTTTTTTAATGTTATTATATTTTTATAATAAATATTAATATTTTTCATACGTGTGAGGATCGATGACGACTTCAAACGTACGTCGTAAGCGCAATGACCGAATAATCAACTACTTTGGCATTCCCTACCTAATGAAGCGGTCTAGTGGTCCTCATAGGCCCTCCTCTACCAATACAAGGGATCAATACAAGTAACACAATACAACTCTTGTACTGTACCGACACATGGATCAGTACAAAGGTCAGCGTCGCTAAAGAAGACCAATACAACATAGAAACGCACAGATATCCTCCCTTCTAACCCCGAAGTTGAGGTTTAAAGAACAAAGAAAGGAAAGAGAAGACAAACTCGCCTATGGTGGCTCTCTGCTTTGAGAAGAGGACGGAGTAAAGCCGTACGTCCTGAATATAATGCGAGCCTCGACGACTCTTTATGAGTTACTGGAGCTTAGTAATTTTTAAAGACTAATATCCTGAAAGTTATTGTCATCTTTAAGTAACATTGAGAAATTTTTGACTAAGTACACTAAAATTCGCCACAGCTGAAATGCTTAACAATTCCAAACAGCATGAAAAGACCACTAATTGATAGGGATATTTTGAAAACAAGTAAGCAACCTTTCCCTCACTTTCCTTGAGGTTACGCGTTTACGCAATACTGCACAAGCCATCTTTTAAATACCGTAACCTCCGCCGGATAGCTCTGGTGTTGGACGAGGTCAGTTCTTGCCATCTGTCCCTCTCTTCTAACGAGGTCTGTTTGATACCACCTCAGAGTTACCAGAAAACTTCGGATCGGAGTTATTTGCTTATATCTGTCAAATGGGTACCGTTCGGCATTGCCGTGATTGGGTTCCAAGTAGAAAGAAAACTCGCACCCGCTCACCAGAACACTGATGAAATGCAAACTGTGGTAGGATTTGCATGACTCTACATGAAAACGGGTCATTAATATGTTAGTGTTGAGGATGGTGATTTCCTATCAAGTGTCCTTGGTTTTCTGCCTGTTGTTCTCATTGACGTAAAAACAAAACAGGTCAGTGATGTGAATCGGAAGTTCCTATCAAGCACGCCTATTGTGGTACAAACGTCTTCCATTTCAGATTAGATATTTGTTCTCTATCGTTGAGTGGATCGTGTTAATGTATTCTTTCTAGAATTTCTGATGTTGCAGAGCACGACGTGGCTTCAGTAGTGCTTCTGTAAATCACATTTGACGTCCGAGAGGGGCTGTTGTTTCTGAGAAGGTTGCTGTTTCGTTCGTCTTCGGGTTGTTGCCCTCGGCGAACGGGCATTGTCGTATAGGTGATGGCATTAATTCCTCAGAGGGACGTCTGATCATCGGAGAAAAGCGTTTGCGAGCGTGGGAATTCGACAACTTCGACATTCGTCGTTTCACAGTTCGAAGAAAGACCTGCTCGGCATTCGAGCTCTGACTGGCGAACACCGTTGTCAACTGCAGCGATGACGTTCAGCTAAAATTTCCACAAATTTAAACGTTCATTTCTACTTGTGAGTCTGAATTTTTTCGGGTTAGGTTGTTGAAGTGTCAGTACGCTCAATCGTAACATGGATTTTTGAAGATATCGGTCTTTTCGTCCTGATAATGCCGTGTATTTCAGGTTGCTGTGTGAGATCGGCCGATGCGTTGACTGGGTACTCATACGAGGTTGCTGGACCCTTATTTCTGTCATGAGTAGAGATCTCTCGAGTGGAAGTTTTCGTGAGATGAGAGACAGCATCGCTAATCGTGAGGTTATTTTGATGATACCTGGTGAGATTCGTTACCTGTAACACTGTTTTTCGTTTTATTAACTCAACCTTTGTATGAATGTTTGGGAAATCCTGTTAATGATGGACTCTATGCTGATCTTGGCCAGAAGCTCTTGAGGTGTCTGTTATCGAGAGATGAACAAGTGGGTTACCCTAAACGTCACTATCTATTCCATATGGTATCCTATGTCATTCATGAAGTTTTGCGGGATGAATTGAGGAGTTCTGGGAAGAACAGGCCCTGTGGTGAGTTGTTATTTGTTGAACTATTGTGATTCCCTTCTCCATTAAGGGGCTCTTTTCCTATTAATATTGTTAACTCGGCTTCCCTAAAATCAGGAGCTCTTGAAAACCATCGTAGCTCTTTGGAACTATTTATAGCTTGACTTTGAGGATCATTATTTATCCTTTGTTGCGAACTCACTCTCAATGGCTCTGTTGATGTCTCACATTATCGTGGTGTTCAAGGAGATTTCACTATTCACTTGTCTTCCTCTTCCGTTCTTCCTCTGCAGTTTTCTCTTTCCGTTGTTTACGTTTGCTCCACGTTGCTCCCGTGTTTTATTCTGAATTCCTTACGCCTGATGTTAATTTCGACTTTTTCTCACCACCCCTTCATACGCACTTTCATTAACCTTCTGGCCTTAGTTTCTTGTAGATCTGATTTCTTGGACTTCGTTGTCCATTCGTTTTCCTTCAGAGCGGTTTAAGCTCGACGATCAAGTGCAACACAAACACGACTTCGCACGGGAGCACTTGCCAAAGGCTCAGAAGGCATATGTACTCGGACACAGCATAGGTGCATACATGATGCTTAGGTATTCTCTTGAGATTCATACTTCATTCTAATTTTTCGTGGTAGACTGAACATAATGTTGAAGCATTATCTCTAACTTTGCCGATTTTTTATGGAACTTTTGATTTATGAGCTTTCCATGCTTTGCCACATCGTCACCACCACAGGCAGTTGCCGCCCTTGTTTATCAGAGGGAGATCTGCTACCATGCGACTAATTTGATCCCAGGTCGTTGATGGATCCTTATACTCTGAGCTGGGTTTCCCAATGGAAACGCCGGACTCATTCTCAGCTTGGGAGACCATGCTGGGTGAATGAATGCCTCTGCTGTACTTCGCAGCCCGACACCCAGGATCACCTCTCAGCCACGATGAGGCAGTAAACTGTTGGGAGGTATAACTAACAAGACATGAATAAATACAAACTTGCAGTCGCTTAAGAAGGTCCTGTTGCAAAAAGCATCATAGCTGTTGACTTCCACTTGATGAGCGTTGGAGACCATCATGTACTAAATTGCAATTGCATTTGCAATAAATATCTAATTAAATGACCATTCGTGAAGGTCACAGTATTTGTCGGGTCTCATCGCCACCAAGATTGTTGGGATCCACAAATGGTAATTTAGTCTCTAGTCATATACTATTCATGATTACGTCTAATAGAGCTCTTCAGAAAGGAATGCAACCACAATGCCTGGGAAATATAAAAAGCGAAAAATTCGACTTTGTTAAAAACGTACTTCGTTCATTTATAATGTTCCTGCCGCCCTTAGAGCATCAGCGATTCTACCTCCTTCCGTGCTTCCATTCCGATTTGTCGCTTTTTGAAGGCTACTTCCATATATGAAGGACGACTCCAACGTGAAGAACGCCATGGGGCTGTTTCCCACTGTTGAAAAAATGTCTGAGTCTCCAAATGGTGTGTACCTTGAACAAATTCTTACGTCTTTACAGTAATTAATTTCCAATCCCACTTTTTTACTTCCTTTCAATGTATCGGTTCATATGCGATGCCATGTTCCTCGATAACATCTGTAGTTCTGCGTTGTCCTCATCTCAACCGCTGAATGAGGCAGTGAGATATTGATTCAAATTTGGCTTTGCTCGGTAGCGCTGGCTTGTAATTTTTTTCGAAAATAGGTTGCAGACAAAGTGCTATTTATAATTTTTTAGACTTTTAGCACAAATGGCTAACCTGCCAAAATGGTATCCTTTTCGTTGAATTGCTTGCCTGCAAAAGTGAATAAATGGCTGGTTTCGTAGAATCTTAGGGGCAACTCGGTACGCTTTTGTCCGACGCAGCTGTAGTGCTGTCGAGTGGTGAAGTGCACTGCAGTTTAGGTTCCCAATGATCTGATCGTATCAGCAGCAGGACTCCTTAATATGAACGTCTTTCGAAATATTCACTTATCGCATGATGAGCTGAGTAATGTGAGAACTTTTTCTCAAATCAGCAAAGTCTCTATTTATGAGCTGCTTTTAATTCATAAAATCTTTTGGGTAATTGGTTTCGACAACTCACTGATTGTGTGCAAGGAGCTGCTTTGCTTCTACTATGGAGTAGTGGACAAGTGGTACTCTAAAGAATTTGGTTTGTTTTGTTGACAAAGTCGTCCAACAGTCTCCCTTCATTACTTTGACTTTTTTTCGTATGACATGATCTGAAAAACCTAATAAAGATCTCTTAGAAACAGTTCTGTTTTTATGAGCAAAAATCATTAATGACCGACGTCAAGAAGATGCATAGACTCTTTCTACATCTCGATTCCAGTCAAGAACAGTTTAGAAGTATGTTCCACATCAAACACGAGACAAGTTGACCTTCCGCAACGCCTTCCTGTGTTTTTTTTCTATGATGTCGAATTTTTCCCCATGGTTTAGTATTGCTGTTCTTGATGGATCTTGCATACATCACTCCTTTCTTCCAACCTAGACAGGTTCTCCAAGTGCACTATTGAATAAACCGTACAAACGACTCGTTTAGTGAAGAATGCAATCAACTTAACTAAGTTCCAGTTGTTAAATACGAAGTGTAAAGCTTGTCCTTCTGGAAAAACATGGAGTACTCTGAGGACTTTCGATGTATTCCATTTTAGATTTGAAATTCTTCGTCGATCCTGAAAATTTCGTTCATTCACAGATCGAAAGACCGGCTTTCGTTCATCCTGGTTATTTATTAATTCATATTATCCTAAAGACCCACTTTCGTTACATCTCGGGTAAAATAGTCAACAATTTCCTGCATGATTGAACTGACGAGAGGTTGCGATAAAACCTTTCGGCAGCTACGCATTCTTCGGAGCCGGATTGATTCGAATGTTAAATAAAATGAGTAAAACTCGTATATAATTCTGAGATATTTGAAAACTCCGGACCGCAGATGTATGCGGTAGGGAACGAACGCGGGCCGTTGTCCTTACTGGGGAGCAGCGCACTTCACCACCACACCATCCGGGTCCTTCGTTTTGCCTTTCTCAGCTAGTTCTATCGATCTTTTGCCATCAACAATCACCCGTCAACAGAATTGACCTGGGAGCCCAAATCGGCATTGAACCCAGTTAAGCTGAGGCTTAGTTATAATCACAATCTTAACTCTCTTATTTACTGCCTTTTTCTTTTTAATGGCAGGGTATGTTGTGAAATATAACTCGTATATAATGCTGAGATATTTGCAAAACTCCGGACCGCAGGCGCATACGGTGGGGGACGAACGCGCGCTATTGTAATTCCTGATGGCAAAAATCGATAGAACTAGCTGAGAGACAGGCAAAACGAAGGACTCGGATGATGTGGTGGTGAAGTGCGCTACCCCCTGGAAAGGACAATAGCGCGCGTTCGTTCTCCACCGCATACACCAGCGGTCTGCAGTTTTGCAAATATCTCAGCATTATATACGAGTTATATTTCACAACATACCCTGCCATTAAAAAGAAAAGGGCAGTAAATAAGAGGGTAAATTTGGAATGTAGTTCTTATGTTTGACAAGAATGAGTATGAACCAACTTGCTTATTTGTTTCAGCAAACGCAACTTTCCATGATAAGTTTTGCCCATGATAAATCGCTCGGGTGCAGCCGATGATAATCTTTGTGATAATTTTTGCATCACTGCGATTACTGAGTGTTTGGTTACTTTTTAATGTATTCGGTAAGGATTTGAATGGTCAAATTCAGAACTTTGTCAACTAAGACTGAGGGTGAATAAGGAAAGCTATGCTTCCGACTCAGATTCGGCTTTCATTTTCCAGTTATCGTCCTCCTTTTTTTCAGGAAAATGGCACAAATATGCACTCGCTGTTTTCTAACGTGACTAGCTTGTCTTTCGCTGGCTTTGGGCTCCTACAACCTCCATTTGATGTCACTGTGTACGCAAAACTTAAAATCTCTAACTCTGACGGAGCATCTCATGGAGCACATTTTTCCTGAGTAAGCGTTCACTGCTACGTTTTTTAGATATTTAAGCTTAAAGGGATCCATTTTTTTAGAAATGATATTGATCCAAGTCGAGTGCAAAACTTCCTTATTTTCGAGAAAGAAGGCCTGATTGGGCATCGACGAAGGATAATATTACATGTGAAAAGATTATGGTCTACTTTAAAGAAGCTGACTTTGTACGATTCAACGAAAACCGTCTCATCGGTTAACTAAACTGGTGAACAGTATTGGCTTTGATGAAGCTTTAGATGAGTTGTTTAAGGGCACATCTATGAATGCTTGAGCTAAGATGGTCTAGATTTCTTTATATGCATGTACAATAAATCTCGATTGTAGTAGTACAGACTGTCTGTGTTGAGTCTCTCAACTCATTCTTCTTGCTCTTCATTGCTAAGCCATTTTAAAAATACCTTTCACGGAGAAATGGGCACTAAGCAACACTTAGTGTGGATCACGTCACTCCACTCCACATCCAATATTGTAGTGGTTTCTCCACATGGTTTTAACCACATATCTTCGCCTATCATCTGCCTTGGTTTTTTAAAACATATCCGACAATCTTTAAAAAAGCCAAGTAATTGCATTAAATAGAAATAAGGATAGCAGCGGAGAAGCTCACCATCAATATACACATCTATGACTGATTCTGACTTGAATACGTAAAGGGTAAAGCTCTCAACGTTGATCCATCCCTGAGGGATACGCCATGCATTGGACTTCATTAAATATCGTTGGAGGTGATTCAATGCATATCCGGCCTTTACAATGACTCGCGGTGGCCTACCGATGTGATGAGCCAGTTCTAGTGTCCTCCCAGACGGGGTTAGTACCAATTCGCCAACCCCGGAGCGATGGAGGGCTTGATGGGTCTGGGGCGTACATTTGAACATTAGCCTACATTCTCTTTTTTATAAGGTCATATGAGGTCGTTAAAATGTTTTCAATGTTTCGAGACCGACTATACTTGAACCTCGGCATCACTAATCAAGATGTATTCTTTCCTTGATGAGCTTACACGAGGTTGTTTTCGATGCTTTAAAAGTGGAGTTTCGGTTACATCGCCTTCCACGAAACCTTGACGTGTTTGTGGCCCTATTCTTACAATTTCTTGAATTCTTTACATTCTTAAGATTTAATTTACAAAAAAAAATATTAAGCTGTTAAGAGTCAGTCAACACCTTACCTTCCGAGGAGTGATGAAGTGATGACACTGTAATGTTGTTCATCAAGGATTATGAGTGAAGCTCGCTGAGATTAAAAAACTGTTCCGTAACACAGCGTCTAAATCACGTGTGATAGTGAGACATCCATCTTTTCAATTCACCGCCGAATTTGTGAAGCCTATCCAAAATGCCTCAGAAACTTTGTTCTGAGTTTGGAATCGTCAGTGCTCTGTTTTTGATCCCTGTAGGCACCCAGAAGAGTACTTTGTCAGATTTCATCTTTTCCGTCCAGATGTTCCTTTAGGGAAAAAGATTGGTCTACCCATGTCACCAATGGTTAAAATGTACTCATCACAGCACGTCACTCAGTTGATAAGCAAACTTTATTTGCAACAACAAAGCACTAAAAAACCAACGATGAAGACAGCAATGACCACATTAAATGTCCGGTAAGAGTGCTTTTCGACTCTAGCGTAATGACTGTGCAAAGTCATTAGTCGTTCTACTCAGGCAATAAAGCACACGCACTACGATTCTCAGGGAGTCTACCACAGCACGCGTAGCCTGGATAACATCAACGTCGCCGCTCAGTTGCAGCTTGTAGAACCCGGATGTTGTCCAACACTATAGTGGAGAGTTTTATCGACAGCACACATTATCACACCAAACAATAGAACCATTCTAACTGTGCTTCACTTTTGAGGATTTAAATATTTGGTTGGCACTAAAGTTCTGATTGCGGACTACTGCTATTTAGAAACGTTAGTTATTTGAAATAAAATAGGCACAAACTCACAATAGGTTCTTTCGAGATGTCCCATAATTATCTCAGGGAATCGATCACATCAATAAGAGAGCTCAGCTACGACTGAGCGAATTAACAGAGTGTGTTTGTAGGGCTTTTTTTTTTAAAACGAATTTGCTTCCGGAAAGGCGTTGTTTCACTAACACATCAGGTGAGCAATCATCTGATTGGCGAGATATCCGTGAAACATGGTCTATCATGGGTTCGCTATCGGACCTCAATGTATGGAATTATTCACAGTCGTTCTCGACTGCCACAGTGATGACAGGTGTGGAAGAATTTGCCAGTCTCACTCACTACCGGACACGGAATACCAAAACATGAGCACAGCACTCTTGTTGTAAGTGTTGGGAAGCACCTTCGCCGTTGGGAGCGTTCTTGATGAATGAGAATTCTACAGTCGTCAGCGAAACAGGCAGAGTTCCTGGTAGCCATCATCATGAAAATGTCCGAGTCGACAGTGCTGCGCCGCATCGGTGGCACTCGACAGTCGGCTGATAAAAATCGGAAGAGAAAACAGAGTGGGAAGTTGAATTCGTTGAAAGTACGTTTCGCCAACGAGACTAAACTGCACTACTTAACTACATGTATTAAAGACTGGATGGAATCAAAATCAAGCAAGGAAAAACAGTGAGCACCCTGGATTTTTTTGCAAACTCGCGTTGTCCTTCCAATTTAACAGGTACGATTATAAACCTGTTTAAGGATACGAAAGAAAGGTAGAATCTAAGGAATGAGGTATAAAAATCAACGTAAGAAACGGTGAAAGGAAGAGAAAAACAACAACACAAATAAACTCACAGGATGAGACAATGAGAAGAATCGAGAATGTAACAGAAAAGAACCCTCCTAACGGATTACCGCCTCATCGCGGCTGCGAGGTGTTCCTGGGTGTCGGACTGCTACATATAGCGAGTGGATTCATCCACCTGGTAGGGTCTTCCGAGCTCTGAATGAGTCTGGCGATTCCATCACAAAGTCCTACTAAGAGTAAACCAATACCAGGATCCACCGTCGTCCTGGTACAAAAATCGCATTGTTGCATATCTCCCTCTGATCCACAAGAGCTACGACTGCCTGTTGTGGTGTAGACATGAGGCAGACTTCGGCCAGGATGATCTGGAAATTCCAGGAAACCACAAGTATCAATGCCGATACATACTGGTGAATCCTCATCTCATCTCTCACGCCGTCCATATTTCGA